AATGCTTGGTTACTATGGAAACCCTGTGTTTGATTCCTAGCACTTCATAAACCCTGTGAGGCTGCATACACCTATAGTGTGTAGGCGGAAGGATCACATGGGCAAGCCATTTTAACCTAGTGGGTTTGAACCCGATCTGAGCAACATGAGATTCTGTCTCATAAATAAAATAAGATCAAATAATCAAGCTGGCATAGTGGCACATACCTTTAATCCCAGCACTTGAGAGGCAGAGGCAAGGGGATCTCTGTTAGTTGGAGGCCAGAACTTTTCTCAAAAAAGCCAGAGACCCTGTCTCGAAACAAAACAAACAAAAACAAAATGCTCTGAGGTAATTGATGTAAGGATAATGTTTCTTTGAGTTCTGTGAGATACTTTAGCTCATTAATAAAATTTGGGGAGTGGGGCTCTGGGGATCCCAATTTGTAGCTGATGGGTCAGAATTTCCTAAGGCTTAGGGTTGTAGGTGAGTGTAAAGTAGGTCAGTTTTGGGGATGGAGCCCTTAATTTATGGATTCACTGCTGACTTCAGATAGACCATGCCAGAACTGAATTTGATTCACGGGCCTCTAGCTGGTAGTTGGCATTCTGGGGTGGCAGGGTGTGCTGGATAGGTTTATGTCAACTTGATACAAGCTAAAGTCATCTGAGATGAGGGAACCTCAATTAAGAAAATGTTTCCATAAAATCAGGCTGTATGCAAGCCGTTAGAACATTTTCTTAATCAGTGATGGATGGGGAGTGTGGGACTGGGAGGAGCCTGGAACCAGTGTAGGATCCAGGTGTTTCCAACCTCTGGAAATCTCCACCCCCTGCACTGGGCCTATGGGGCATGTGGCCCTGTGGCTCTCACCTTTGCCTCACCAGAGGAGGTCACGTAGCCAGCAGCCAGGTTAAACTTCCTTTTCCCTTATAAGGTCATGTCAGGAAGCACATGGAATTCTTTCTTACACAGAAAGTATCTTCCAACATTCCTGCCCTGACCAATCGTAAATGGCCACGCAAACTTTACCCTAGAGATCCTGGCTGGCCACCTCCCCAGGGGGAATAAATACTCCTTCCCCCAGTAAACAAACCAGTTCTCTTAAACTGTTCTTTACCCACCCACTCACCACTGACCAACATCCTGCTTGCGCCCACCTGTGCCCAGATGAGCTTCCCTCCCACCAGCCCCGTGTGCAGAGGGCCTGGCTTCTTGGAGAGGGAGAAGTGGACCCAGAACAGCAGAAAAGGGCCCCAGCCCATTGTGGGTGGTGCTGCCCTGGGCTGGTTATTCTGGGTTCTGTAAGAAAGCAGGCCAAGCAAGCCAGTAAACAGCAGCCCTCCATGGCCTCTGCATCAGCTCCAGGTTCCTGCCCTGTTTGAGTTCATGCCCCGATTTCATGATCAGTGCTGTGGAAGCATAAGCCAAACAAACCCTTTCCTCCCTAGCTTGACTTTGTTCACCGTGTTTCGTCAAGGCAATTGTAACCTTGAGGGTTACTTAGCACATTTTGGGGGTCAGAGAAGTGATTTGTGCTGTGAACACAGTAGGAAGAAAACTATCTTGAGCATCTCCTTTTGTCAGCGATGGGACCTAGATGTATTTGAGGTTATGAGGTTTCTTTTCTGGTTTTCATGTTGTAAACGAAAATTTTCTTTCAGAAAAGAAACTGCATCTTGGAACTAACATTCTGCACGGTTGACTAACTGATTAGAACCATAAAGATTGGAGGGTTTGGTTGGCATGGTACGGGTCCAGAGCCTAATTCACAGTTTGTCTCTAAGTCCTCTAAGCAGTCATTTCCTAAACTACTCTGTTGGACCTAACATCTGGTGACTTAACAGATAAAAGCCTTTTTGAAATGAATTAACTTAGCAAAACCCTACTCTCCACCAACCAGAGGGCTGAGTCATCAGATAGCATCTGAGGCCTGTAGCTGAGACTGCTCTTTGAAGCTGCATTGATGTATCTGAAAAACAACTTGACTTATAACTTCCTTTGTTCTAGGACTATAAAAGCTTTAACAAAACTGCTTCAACACTGGAATGCAGGCTTTGGGGTAACTTAAATCTGTGTTCATGGTCATTTATAGTTTATGTCTGAATCAAGTCTGTTTGAGGTGTTTTCGCATAGACAGTTCTAAAAACTTATTTTCTTTTTCCCGTGTGTGTGTGTATGTGTGTGTGTGTGTGTGGTGTATGCATGTTTGCACATGTGTGGGTGTTATATTATATAAGCAGTGATGCAACATGTCTGGTATGAGAATATTTATTTGAGGGAAGGGAAGGGGATTAGAGCCATGAGGGCAGAGAGAGAGAGATATGGGGAGGGGCCCCTGACTCAGGGAAGAGAAGAGAAACTGAAGCAGAGAGAGTGAGTGGGAGTGGCAGACTGGTTCTTTCATGAGCACCTGGCCAGGTGATGACATAGGACGTTGTTAGGCCCCTGAAGGCCCCTGAGGGCAGGTCAGTTGAATTGCCTGCATAATAACATAACAGTGGGAACAGAAATGGGCTGTGTGCATGTGGAGGTTGAGGTCCAGAATCATCTTCCATTGCTCTTCCACCTTACTCACTGAGAAACAGTCTCTTCTCTCAGTCAAACCCAGAGCAGGCCCGTATGGCTTGTCTTCCTAGCCAGCTTCCTTTGGGGATTCTCTGTCTCTTTTGGAGACTAGAATTAAAGGTGGGCTGCCGAATCCGCCCAGCATTTACCTGGGTTTTAAGTGTTTCCAGCCCTTAGGCATGTGAGGCAAGCATTTTCCTGCCTAGCCACCTCCTGAATGTGCTAACAATGCTGAGTTTAGATCTACAGAGCTCTTTTTTTAAAAAAAATAATTTTTCTTTCTTTTTTCTTTTTTGAGACAGGGTTTCTCTGTGTAGCCCTGGCTGTCCTGGACTTGCTCTGGAGACCAGGCTGGCCTCAAACTCACAGAGATCAGCCTGCCTCTACCTCATGAGTGCTGGGATTATAGGCATGCGCCACCGTGCCTGGCTCTTAAAAATAATTTATTTTTATTTTACATGCGTTGGTGTTTTGCCTGCATGTATGTCTGTGTGAAGGTGTCAGGTCCCTTGGAACTTTTACAGACAGTTGTGAGCTGCCACATGGGTGCTGGGGATTGAACCTGTGTCCTGGAAGGGCAGCCGGTGATCTTAACCACTGAGAAATCTCTCTAACCCATTTAGATCTTATAATATATGGATCTGCTGGAGATGCTGCTCAACAGAAGAGCGTGTGCTTTTCATTTGTGAAATTCTCAGTTTGGTCCCGAGGACTATAAAAAAGAGCAATAACAACAACAACAACAAAAATCTATGAGAAGTGGGTTGGCTGCACGCAAACAGCCATTTTCTGTGAGAGACTAGCATCTGTGGATTTTGGTATCTGCTAGCAGAAGGTCCTGGAAAGGATTCCTCAGTGACACAAAGCTAAGATTTTAGGCCTGTTGAGTAGGTTAGCCCTGTTAGGTTCTGAGTGGAACTAATAGCAGCTTAAAATGCAAGCTTTATTTTCTAAGCTCAGGGAGGCCACCAGTTTGATGTCTGAACCATGTCCCCAAGAGGAAGCTGTATTGCATATTTAAAGGGTGAAAACTTACAAAGTGAGGGGGCATTGTTTCATCCAATCACATTTTAACATTATGGGTTAAGCAAGGGCGTTTCTGTTGGAGGTTGGGCCTGATCCAGGACACCTGGTCGCAAGGCCTTTAACTATTCAAGACATTTGGTCTGGAATCCAAGGTCTTTAATTTATTCTCTTAGACGTTTGGTCTGGAGCTCAAAGTGATAAGGGAACAAAGAAGTGGGTCATCTGTCTGTAGTAAGTGAGGGCTTTGAGGCAATATATTTTTACAATTTAGACACTTCAGTTAAAGTAACAGCAGGTTTAACTAGTTAGCAGACATTAGGAAAATGTTTCAAGGGGCTGGGTTAGGAGATGGTTCTATAAACTTGGGAATGTGAACCTAGTTTGGCCTTCCTAACAAGGTGGGGGAGCAAAATGTAAGAGCTGCTTCGAGAAGGCTGGGCTGTGGCTGCCTTCTGGCAATCCCAGCCAGCGATGCTGTGTGGCTGGCTGAGTGCCCCCTGTAAAACTGGCCTGAGGCAATTAAAACTGGTTACAGACCGCTGGTCCTCCAGCTCCCTTCAATGAGATTAGAAGTGTGAACCATCATGTCGGAATCCAACACTCTCAACCTCCCAGACTGAAATCCTGTCTTGTGAACATGGAGCTCACGGTTCACCCGTATCACAGTGGCTAGGAAACGCTCATTCCTTTCTAAAGAGCTTAGCTCTAGTTGTGTGCATGTGGCTGCACAGTGCACATGCTGCTGCAGGTACCTGTGCAGGTCAGGAGTGCTGGAGTCCTGGACCTGGGGTTACTGGTTGTTGTGAGTCATTTGTGAGGACGTGAGAACAAAACCGTATATGGAAAAATGAAGGGCAGAGGCACACAGACTTGATTTCAACAGGCTGAGCATACTTAGAGGGGCTGGGGGACAGGTATAGCGTGCATGCGCACACACACACAGCTATGTGGAAGTTACAGCTATTTTTTTGTGGTTTGACTGGAAGCAGGTTGGAATTTTTTGCTTGTTTGTTTCTGAGGCAGGGTTTCTCTTGGCTGTCCTGGACTCACTTTGTAGACCAGCTGGCCTCAAACTCACAGAAATCTGTCTGTTTCTGCCTCCCCACGTGGTGGGATTACAGGCGTCTGCTACCACAACCGGCTAGGTTGAATTGTTTTTGAAGAAGAGTATTGGTGGAATTTTAATTTATATTTTAATTTATGTTTACCTCGTCTTTGGTTTTCCTTGAGACAGGGTATTACTAGGTAGCCTTGTCTATCTTGGGACTCACTATGTAGACCAGGGTGGTCTTGAACTCTTAAGAGATTCATTAGCCTCTGCTTCCCAAGTGCTTGGATTAAAGGCATAAACCACCACACTCTGTCAGGTGTTCATTCTTGATATCTCATCTTGTCTTCCAGAATTTGGATCCACCAGGCACGTAAGATGTTATGTCAGAATGTCCATCGGTTTTGTCAGAAGTTGGTACGCCGGCGGCCCCTCGGAGCAAGTGAACAGTCTGAGTCTCCCTTGTCTCGATGTCTGACCACTTTAGACCTGGTGTTCTTGGGTGTGGGCAGTACCCTGGGAGCAGGTGTGTACGTCCTGGCTGGGGAGGTGGCCAGAGAGAAAGCCGGACCAGCCATCATCATCTGCTTCTTAGTTGCTGCTCTGGCTTCAGTGCTGTCTGGACTCTGTTATGCGGAGTTTGGAGCCAGGGTACCGTGTTCGGGTTCCGCGTACCTCTACAGCTATGTCACAGTGGGCCAGCTGGTGGCCTTTATCACTGGCTGGAACCTCATACTTTCCTATGTCATTGGTGAGGAGGTGGGGACTTAGAATGGACGTGGGGCTGAGGTGGGGTGGGGTGGAATGGGCAAGGGATGTTTACCCTCACTCATAAGCACTGTCTTGGTGCTGAGGGCTTGGGCAGTGGAGGACCTCTGGAGTCATTCTTCCCTTTTGCTGCTTCTTTAAGGGATTAAACCTAGAAGAAATGAGATTTGCATTGAATGGTCAGATTTCTTTTTGTTTGAGACACTCTTACTATGGAGATAAGGCTGCCCTCCACTTTGCGGAGAAACGCCCCCTTTGGCCTCCCCAGCACTAGGATTACGGGTGTGGCCCACCATGCCTTACAGGACTTTCTGTATGAGTACAGGATCTCATGTAGCCCACTTGTCCTTGAACTTGCTATTTATAGAAGACAGCCTTAAATCCCTGATACACGCACCTACTTCTCAAGTGCTTAGACGACAGGCAAGTGCTGCCTGGCCTGGCCTGGTCCCTCATCTTTTCTTTTCTGTTTTTAAGGTATTTTTTTCTTTTTTTTTTTTTTTAATTTTGTTTTTTGAGACAAGGTTTCTCTGTGTAGCCTTGGCTGTCGTGTCCTGGGCTTGCTTTGTAGATCAGGTTGGCCTCAAAGTCAGAGAGATCCACCTGCCCCTGCCTCCCGAGTATTGTGATTACAGGTGTGCACCACGGCGCCTGCCTGGTTTGTTTTATATCTAATCATGTGTATGTGTATAGTGTCTGCAAAGGCCAGAGGCACTGGGCCCCTGGAGCCTGAGTTACACTTGGTATGTGTACTGGAAACCAATCTCAGCCTTCTGAAAGAGCAGCACTCATAACTGCTCAGCTACCTCCAGACCCTCCCCCCACTTCTGCTTTGAGCCTTGGTAGGTCTTACTCCATAGCCCTGGTTGACCTAGAACTCACTCTGTAGATCAAGCTGACCTTGAGCTCACAGAGTTCCCCTGTCTTTGCCTCCTGAATGCCAGGATGGAAGATGTGCCTGGCTCTTTTTTTTTTTTTTTTTTTTTCTTGTCAAGGTTTTATGTAGGTAGGCCAGGTTGGTCTTGAACTCTTTGTTAATTGAGGATGACCATGAACTCATTTTCCTGCTCTACCTAACAAAGGGCTCACAGGCATATGTCACTACACTTAGCCTGCCAGGAATTCCTTTTTTGGTAATGTCAAAGACAGGGTTTCTCTGTGTAGCCCTGGCTTTCTGGGAACTCACTCTCTAGACGCACCTGTCTCTCCTGAGTGCTATGATTAAAGGCCTGCAGGCTGGGCTGGGAATTCTTTGTATATTTCAGGGAGATTAGGTTTATAGGCTCGTCATCATTTTGGAGTTTGTTCAGCTGCTACATTGTTGAAAAATTCCTAGGCCACCATTTTGTTTGTTCTTACAGTGCCAGGGCTCAAACCTGGGGCCTTTTTGTGTATATAAGGCAAGTACTCTGCCACAGAGCTAAATGCCTATCCTAAGAAACTCCTGTGAGGTTATTTATCTTGTCTATTTTTCACCCCCCTTCATTGCTCCCCACAGCTGTGACTGAGATTAGGTATTTTTCTCTCTCCCTTTCAGTATTCTCAGGGTTCACTTTCTGTTTGTAGATGAAGGCTCCTCTTCCTTCTGCAGGCGCAGCCAGCGTGGCCCGGGCTTGGAGCGCAGCTTTTGATGGCCTCATTGGGAGCCACATCTCCCACGCCCTGCAGACGACCTTCCCTATGCACCTCCCCACCGTTTTGGCCAAGTATCCAGACTTCTTTGCGCTTGGTCTGGTGATGGTCCTCACTGGTGAGACATGCCAGGGAGGGGCTGTGTGTGGGGGAGGATGGTGGCTGGTGGAAGATGTGAAATCCAAGGCACGGGAAGGCAGGGGCGTTCCCACACGGGGGGCAGTGGGTGTGCTGAGGAACAGCACACCTAGCTCTCAACCACCGGACGTCTGAGGTAACCTCCTCCACACTGTTACAAGCCAGGTGCCTACGAAACCCCGTACCCCCTCCAACTTTCTACTGATATAGAATTAGCTTCTTCTGCAATTACATTTACTTTTTTATTTTTTGCATGTATGTGTGTGGGTACATGTGTATGGAGGTCACAGGACAAATTGTGGAAGCTCTCCACTTTGTAAGGGCCTGGAGACTGGAGACAAAACTCAGACTGCCAGGATTGCCAGGCTTCTTGGCAAGCCTTTTTTTTTTTTAAATTTTTATTTATTTTTATGTTTTACCTGATAAGCCACCTTCCAGGCCTTTCTTCTGTATGAAGACCAAATTTGAAGAGAAAATTAGATCTATCCACATTATGCTATGCGTTTTGCCTGCATGTATGTATGTGCATTCAAATATCGGCCTGGTGCCATGTGAAGGAGGCTTTGATGCCTCCTTCACAGACACCATGTGAAGTATGGGCTCTGGGAACTGAATGCTGGTCCTCTGGAAGAACAGCCAGCACTCTTAATCAATGAACCACCTCGCCAGCCTGAGATTTTGATTTTGATCCACATTCCTTCTTGTGTATCTGGGTTGGTCAAGCTCTTAACTCTGCCACATGTGTGCTGATATTACAGGTGTGCACCACAGCAGCCATCTTATGGTATCTTAGTGCCTCCTCATTCCCTCTTCCTGCAGGAGTCCTGGCCCTGGGAGTTCGAGAGTCAGCCATGCTCAGCAAAGTTTTCACAGGAGTGAATCTTTTGGTGCTGTGCTTTGTCACCATCTCTGGCTTCATTAATGGCAAGCTACACAACTGGCAGCTCACAGAGGAAGACTACAACCTGGCCATGTCAGAGGTTAACAGCACTGACAGGTCAGGGGCCCTGTCAGACACAGTTAACTCAAACCAGGAACGTGTGGAGAGGAAGGGGGCTGGCTAGTGGGTCCAAGTGAGGCATATAGCAGCCCAGAACCGTGTGTCAACAGAAGGGTACAGTGGACATTGTATCTAACTCTCTTCAGTGGTTTTAAGTTTTATTTTTTTATTTCGAGACTTATTTTTCTTTCTCTCTTGTCTTGGAACTCACTCTGTAGATAAGGCTAGCCTCCAAGTTCCGCCTGCCTCTGCCTACCGAGTGCTAGGATTAAAAGCGAGCGCCACTGTGCTGTAGCATTTTTTTTTTTCCAAAAAAGGGTCTCACTATGTAGATCATAGCTGGATCTCCCTATGTAGAGCAGGCTGCCCTTGAGCTTGTAGAGATCCACCAGCCTCAGCCTCCCAAAGGCTGGGAATAAAAGCATCTGTGTGTGCCTGGTGCCTGTGAAAGCCAGAAGAGGGGCTTGGATCCAATGTAATTTGAGTTAAACATGGTTGTGAATTCTTATTCAGGGTATCATAAATGCCAGGATCAAGCCCACATCTTGATTTCTGTGTATGCTAAGCAAGCACTCTGCCAGCTGAGGTATATCCTACCATCCCTTGTCCTGCATCATTACTACTTTTGTGTTTTGAGACAAGGACTTGCTATATAGCCCAGGCAGGCTCTGAGGTGTATAATCAGAGTTGGCTGTGAACCTTCAGCCTCCAGTTCCTGAGTGTTGGGATTACAGGCACACCCCATTATTCCCTGTGTTCCTGCCATGTTTTTCTCATTCCTTCTCTTGCCACAGTTTGGGACCTCTGGGCTCTGGAGGATTTGTGCCTTTCGGCTTGAATGGAATTCTCCGCGGTGCAGCAACATGCTTCTTCGCCTTCATTGGGTTCGACTGTATTGCAACTACAGGTGTGGTATAAACACATAGTGCTGGTGGAGGGGATAGCCTGCTTTTGGGAGCATCGGAGGGGAGAGCATGCGTGTGTGTGTGTGTGTGTGTGTGTGTGTGTGTGTGTGTGTGTGCGCGCGCGCTTCTGACTCTAAGTCTGTTCTGTCCCTGCAGGGGAAGAGGCCCGCAATCCCCAGCGCTCCATCCCATTGGGCATCGTGATCTCACTCTTTATTTGCTTTCTGGTGTATTTTGGTGTTTCCTCGGGACTCACCCTCATGGTGCCCTACTACCAGATTCACACTGAGAGCCCCTTGCCCAAGGCATTTACCCATGTTGGATGGGGCCCTGCCCGATATGCAGTGGCCGTGGGAACCTTATGTGCCCTTACATCTAGGTTGGTATCAAAGCTTTCTCCCATTTGCTGCTGGATTCTCAGCTGTTCCAGCCCTTGAAGTGGAGGAAGAGAGGAAAGGGAAATGTTTCACATGGCTAAAGGAACGGGGCCTGCCCATTGTCATCTCTGGAGTCTCCTACTCATGTTCCTCTTCTCTTATAGCCTCCTTGGTGCCATTTTCCCTGTGCCTCGGGTGGTCTATGCCATGGCAGAGGATGGACTCCTGTTCCGGATACTTGCCAGTGTTCATCCTCGAACACACACCCCTGTCTTAGCCACCGTCATTTGTGGAATCATCGCAGGTAGACAGCCAGCCTTACCAATTTTGCCAGCTTGGCTATGTTTATTTGCTAATGCTTCACAGTTTTTACACCAATTTTTATTATTATTATCACATTAGCATTCATGACTTTCCTCGTTGAGCTCAGCGATCTGGTGGACCTCTCATCCATAGGGACCCTGCTCGCCTACTCCTTGGTGGCCTTCTCTGTTCTGGTCCTCAGGTGAGACTCCATCACATCTTAGCTGAGAGTTATGGGACCATGGTGAAGATGGCTAGGTACTCGTCCTGGCTGCCTATTGTTTGTGTGGGGTAGTGTTCTCATGCTATCTTGTTCATTTAGGTACCAACCAGACCAGAACGCAAGCTCTTGTAAGAAGGAGAAATCTGAGAGTGGAACTGTTGAGATGGAGCCTGTTTCTCCAGAAGGAACTCCAGGGATTGTGAGGAGCCTCTGTGTCCCCACAGACACCAACCCAACTCTGAGATCTGGCCACATTGTCTATGGATGTGCCTCCCTGCTTGGTGAATACTGGGACTTTCCCCTTTGGACATTTGGAAGCTGATGAACGGGGTGGATGTCACTAGCAGAGGAGAAGGCACAGTATAGATAGGTTTGGTGGAATCTAGCCCAGGGTCTGATACACTTCTCCCCAATTTGGCTTTCAGTCCTCCTCTTGATGCTCCTGTGCCTGATCCTGGCCCAGTGGTCTGGGCAGCTAATTTCTGGAGACCCGGTTTTGATAGCTGTGACTACTTTACTGTTGCTTCTCATTGTTGGGGTGTTGATTGTCATCTGGATACAGCCTCAGAATGCCACTCCTCTCCACTTCAAGGTAGGTGACTTACTTCTCAGATAGGGCACCCTAGGAGAGTGACTATATGTGACTTAAGGGCTAAGCATGCTTTATGTTACCAGGAAAGGAAGGGGTGTGAAACTGATAAAAACAATGGGCATGGTGGCCCTTGTCTTTGGCCCCAGAACTCTGGAGCTAGAAGCAGGAGTTTGAGGCCAGCTTGGTCTACACAGAGTGTATCAGGCCTGTTTTACAACCAACCACCTCCTGATATACCAATAGGCAGAGCCAGGCTTCAGAGTGCATGTGTAATCTTAGATACTCAGGAGGCTGAGGCAGGAGGATCACACATTAAAGGCCAGCATAAAACTGTAGCTACTTCTAGATTAACTCGGGTAACTTAGTGAAATTTTGTTTCAAAATAAAAGTAACACAGGTATGTGGGTACATGTGTCTACTTTTAATACTAGGGAGGTAGAAGGAGAAATCTCAGTAGTTCAAAGGTACGCTCAGCTTACATAGTGAGTTTGAAATCAGGCTTAGCTACATGAGACCCTGCCTCAATCAGCCAACCAAACACACACACACACACACACTCACTCACACAGACCCACAAAAAAACCCACCCCAACAACAAAAAACAAGAAACACCCCAAAGTGTGCCCCTCCCATCACAACTCATATTCAGCACTTGCTTAATATGCATGAAACTCTGGGTACAATCCCTAGTACTGAGAAAAAGGCAGGGGGAGGTCAGAAAGTAGTCAGTCAGTGGCTGAAGCGGAGCAATAGTTTCAAATGCATGAAGCCTTGGGTTTGATCCCAGCATCACATAAATGGTGCTGCATGCCTATAATCCCAGCACTGGGGAGGTAGGGGCTGGAGAATCAGAAGTTCAGGGTCATCATGAGCTATATATTGAGTTCAAGGTCAGCCTGAGATATTTGAGATCCTAGGCACAAAAAATAAGACATCTGCTGCTGGGTGTGGTGGCACCTGCCTTTAATCCCTTGGGAGGCAGAGGCAGGTAGATCTCTGAGTTTGAGGCTAGCCTGGTCTACAGAGCGAGTTCCAGGACAGTCAGAGCTACACAAGGAGACCTTGTCGCAAAAAACAGAAAACTAACCAAAAAAGACATTTGCTTACAACCCCCAGCCCAGTGTTTCTGTGCTCAGTCCCTGGCCCTCTGGCACATCCCATGGGGTCTCCACTATGAGCAGCCACTGACTGCAGAGCTCAGGTACCAGCCCGGTCTTCTACCCAAGGGGAGAGCTCAGGTGTCTGGGGTACAGGGACTCAACAGGTGTGCCCACAGGTTCCAGCACTTCCTGTTCTTCCTATGCTGAGTATCTTTGTGAATGTCTACCTGATGATGCAAATGACTGCTGGGACCTGGATTCGCTTTGGAATCTGGATGGTGATTGGTGAGTAGCTTCCTGAGGAACAGATCCTTGGGCAACTGGGATCTAACTCTTCTAATCACCTTTCTTTGAAACTGGGGGCTTGTGGAGAATCCCCAATGGGCATCCATAGAGGAGTGACCATTTCTACCTTACTGTGTCTATCTGTTCCCTTTTAGGATTTACTATCTACTTTGGATATGGAATCCGACACAGCTTCAAAGAGAAGAATGACCAACAGTCAGCAGCCTCAAGCTCCCAGACTATCCATGAATATACTCCCAGTGTTGAATTAGCTTAACTGCAGAAAACTGATGCTTCCAGGATGCCATGTGTGTCTGTTTTTCTTTCATTCTTTCTTTCCCTTTCTTTTTTTTTTTTTTCTGTGTGTGTGTGCTGGTGTTGGGAATGGCAAGGAGGCAGTACTGGGGATTGAACTTGTGCATCTGAGGCAAATGCTCCATCACTGAACAATTCCATGTCGTGTAGGTGACTTTGGGCGGCTCAAAGAAAAGTTTGAACACTTGTGAGCTGTGCATGGGACTTATAAAGTATTGTTTATAAATCATTCTTATCTTTGAGCAAATTCCTTAACTTTTTTTTAGTTTTGTGCTGAACTAGGACCTCTGGTTTTGCATATGCTAGGCAGGTGCTCTATCATGGAGCCACATCCCTAGTGCCTGTAGTTATTTAACGGACAGTAACAATTGTGTATCTGTGAACAACGTGTTACTTATGTATCATAGAACGGCTACGTCAAACTGATTATTACACCTATTTCTTTGGACAGGGTCTGTCTTGTATGGCCCAGGTCAGACTTGAACTTGAAATCTTCTGAACGTTACTTATTATTTATGATGCGTGTGTCTGTGGGCACACATGTACCACAGTGTGTGTGGAGGTCAAAGCAGTTAGTCTTAGCATTTTTCAGATATACAGTATATTGTTCATTTGTGGAGGATGTATATTATGTTAAATGAAATAAACTAGGTATAAACAAATATGAATTTGCTTTTCTGTGCATGTGTGTGGGCACACCTGTCATGGATGCATGTGGACGTCAGAGGACATATGTAGCCTAGGCTGGCCTCCAACTCGGACAACCTTCCTGTTTCAGCCTCTTGAGTACTGACTGCATGCATGACACCGTACCTAGTGAGATGTACCTTTTAATGCTCAATTTCTACTAAGATCCAGAGATTGGTGGCTGAGTATGGTGGCATATACCTGTAACATAGTTTTGGTAGAAGGATCACAAGTTTGAGGCCAGCTCAGCATACATAGTAATGTAAGACATCAAACAAGCAAAACAAAAGCCTGAATGGGCTGGAGAGATGGCCCTGCCATTAAACTTGCTACTCCTGCAGAATACCTGGGTTTGATTCACAGCATCCCCATGGCAGTTCAACAATCTGTTACTCTAGTTCTAAGGGATCCAACCCACCTTCTGGCTTCTGCAAGCATGTGGTGCATGTACATGCAACTCAGGTACACACACACAAATAAACAAAAGTAACATGTAGAGGCTGTCTGGGTTAAAACACAAAATTTACTATTAGCTTTATGAAAATTTGCACCTTTTCCTGCAGTGATTGGTGTCTGAGCCAGAGCCTTGCACCTCTATGTAATTGCTTTATTACTGAGCTGTGCTGTTTAAACAAAATCTTAATTCAATTTTACCAATAAAGACTCGGGAGCCAGATGCTAGGGTGAAAGCCTGCTAGCTCAGTGAGGTAGAGAAAGCACCCCACTGATCTTCCTCCTCAGCCAGCATCCTCCCAAAAGGAAGCTCCAAGCTGTGTCAAAACCCTCAATGTCCCTCCTTCCTGTGTGTCTATCTGTCCTCTTGACTTCCTCTTATTCTGTTTTCATCTATGTTCACTCCCTGTCAACTGGTTGCCTGCTCCACCTCTTGACCTAGGGTTAACTTTATTTAATCTTGTTTATAATACTCAAGCAAAAAGTCCTTGGATTAAAGGTGTGTGCTAGGGCCTAGCCACACCACAACTTGAAACAGGTTTTTCCAGTAAAGAGCACACTCTTATGGTGTGTTCAAATATCCCGCAACAGAGCTGCATCCCTACCCTTTTAACATACCAGAAAACAAGTGTGATGATAGCCAAAGGAAAGCTGGGTGTGCTGGTGCATGACTGTCAGCATGCTGAGGAAGAATGATCCCAGGAGGTCAAGGCCAGCTTAGACTATGTAGTAAGAACCAGTTACAAAAAAGAGATAGATCTAGCTCAGCTGGCAAGAATGAGGGCCTGAGTTCATCCCTCTCACACAGGGTCTCACTATGTAGCCCTGGCTGTCCTGGAACTGGCTATGTAGACCAGGTTGGCTTCAAACTCACAGAACTCAGAGATCTACCTATCTCTGCCTCCCAAGTGCTAAGATTAAGATCATGGTCCACCATATCTGCCCGATCCCTAGCATTTATATAAAAACCAAGTGTGGAGGTATAATCATCAGTCACCCTATGCTTTCCCCCCCTGTCTTTATCGAGATAGGGTTTCCCTGTGTAATTATGGCTGTCCTGGAACTAGCTCTATAGACCAGACTGGCCTGGAACTCACAGAGATCCTCTTGCCTCTGCCTCCTGAGTGCTGTAAAGGCGTGCATCGCAACTCCCTGGTGAGGACTCAAAATTACCAGGATAGTACCAAGTCATATGTAACCCAATAGTGGAAAAGCCTTAGATGAGGTATGACCCTGAGATAAATCAGACCTATCTCTTGTTTCAGTCCCAGGTTCTGGATCCTCCACCAAGTTCCACAGGAGAGTCCTGGGCCCCGGGCACAGCACTGTCCCTTGAAAGAAGTTCTCATGAGCAGTCGAATGCTTCCCAGATTCTCCACCTATTCGCACTTGGCCTTGAGCTCTATGCATTCCTTCTCAGACTCCAGAAACTGTCCTAACTACTTCTACCCACATCAAACTCAGTCCCCCTTAGTTCTAGGCATCTCTCCAAGATAACCCATTCAAGACATCTCATAAGAAGGCTTGGCTCCCACCTCTCCTTCCCACACCCTCCTGGGAGACTAGGAGTCCTGTGAGTCATGGTCCCCTCACCAGGTCAAACAAGTGTGTTCGTCCCTCTGCCTCCTTGAGGAATGTTCACTGGCTCCATTAATTCACCAACAGTTCATCTGACTGCCCAGGTCTAGTTCAAACTTACTGTAAAAACTTTATTATTTTTAATGAACAAGCAATTATGTTACATTTAGTTTTGACTTTGTACATTGCAGCACACTGATACTTTCATACACGCACACAATGGAGAATGACTGAATCAAGATAACATCCATCCCCTTCCTTACTTTTGTGGTGAAACATTTGACATACTTTCTCATTTGATGTTAGGAATTCTGGAGACTCTCTTGACATCCCATAGTGGTTTTCCTTTGCATTTCCTTGCTGAGGGCTGAGGTGAGCCAAATTTCCATTTACTTATTGGCCTCCCAGGGATCTCTGACATGTGTCACTCCACTTCTTCCTGCAGAGTCTCTGTTGTGCTTGAGGATTCCTGATGCCTCCGTGAGTCTGCTGATTGGTGCACACAAAGTAATCCCCCTGCCCCTGCTGTGCTCCTTGCCTGTTCTCTCCCTTCATCAACAGACTGTGTTTCTGATGAGGTCTAATAATCTTTTCCATTCAGTGTGGTATGTGGTTAGATACCACTGCTAAATCCGTGACGGCAACAGCCATCTGTTATGCCATTTTGAGACTGGCTCATGAGTAGCAGCACTAATGGTGATGAACAAGAACAGAAACAGGAATTATTTATGGAGCACACAGTCTCCTGAGACTGTCTGAAAGAGTTTGCTTGGAACATTTAATTTCTACAGTGTGATTATCCTTATGTACAAGGAATTGTCAGAACACACATTTTACAAATATAGTCTTGATTTATGGAGGTTTTTAGCCTTTAGTTTTTCAACTTTTTGATGGCACAAAAGCTATCCATATAACCATTGCTTTTTCAAATCACAATAGTGCAGAAGTGTGTCCACACAGCTACTGATTTTTCAGTTTTATGATGCTCTGGAAGCCTATCTACGTAATGACTGATTTTCAACTTTGCAATGGTGTGAAATCATCTTCAATACAATTACTGATCTTTTCAGCTTTGAAAAGCATACTCAGTAAATCACTGACTTTGTCAGCTCTGTGAAAGCACACCTAATACAACTTTACAGCTTTACAATAGCACAAAAGCGTACTAAGTATAAGTGATTTTTTTCATTTATGGCAGTGTGAACTAACCACTGATTTTTCTTATTTATTTATTTATTTATTTTTATTAATTACACTTTATTCACTTTGTATCCCCCCATAGCCCCCTCCCTCCTCCCCTCCCAATCCCACCCTCCCTCCCCCTTCTTCACGCATTCCCCTCCCCAAGTCCATTGATAGGGGAGGTCCTCTTCTCCTTCCTTCTGATCTTAGTCTATCAGATTACATCAGGAGTGGCTGCATTGTCATCTTCTGTGGCCTAGTAAGGCTGCTCCCCGCTCAGGGGGAGGTGATCAAAGAGCAGGCCAATCAGATTATGTCAGAGGCAATCCCTCTTCCCATTACTATGTAACCCACTTCAACTCTACAATATTTTTTTCATCTCTGCAAAAGTGTACCCAAAACAACCACTGATTTTTGAACTTCAAGATGGTGTGAAAGTATACCTAATATAATCATAGATTATATTTTCAACTTCAGAATAGTGAGGAAATGTATTTGATACAACTACTAATTTTCAGTTTTAACTTTTTTTTTTTTTGACCCAGGGTCATGCTAGAATCTGGTATGTTGCTCAGGCTAGCCTTGAACTCTCAAGCCTCTTGAGATTATAGGAATGTGCTACCATGCCTGGCCATTAGTCAATAAACTATGTGAGATACACAGCATTTCATGACTGAATAGGCTTTGTATTGGATGATTTTGCCCATGCTAAGGAGAGTGATCTGGGCACATCTGAGGAAGGCTGGGTTAATGTTTGGTTGGTTATGTATCTTAAGTGCATTTTCAGCTTACTATGGGCTTATCAGGGGTAACAAGCAGTTTGTGAGTTTCTCATAGAGATCAAAAAGGTGGGATGGTGATGCTAGCTGGTATGGCATATGCCAAGACTAAAGCCTTTTCCACAAGTGTCACTTGATCAGGGTTGCTCCCTAGAATGAACCTGAAATGTTATAAATGGTAGAATGGTATTGGTAGGCGTCTATGAACTTAAACCAAGGTATCTGGTAAAAATGCCAGTATGGTAAGGATATGATCATTAAGAAAAATGACTTTTACACTCTCCCAAGTTCACCTTCTGGTAGGCTTTCTGATATTCTACAAACAGGAAAATGACCACGGAAGGCTTGCTTAAGATAAATTAGCCATCATGGAAAGAATGAATGTAGGACAGAGCCTTGGTATACTCTTTGTAGTCAATATTTTCAGTGTTTGTGAGTCTTCTGAAGTTCTCTGAGATGGCTTATATTATTATAAACCTTCCCACACTCCTTACATGGTTTTGGCACGTGAGTTTTCTAAGCTCATGGCCATGACTAAAGGCCTTTCCCAATTCCTTACATTCATGAGGTTTCTTTCCTGTGTAAATTCTCTTGTGTTTAAGAAGGTTTGATCCATATATAAAGGTCTTCCCACATCCCTGACATTTATAAGGGGTTTCACAAGTGTGAATTCCCTCATGTTGGGTGAGGTGATAACCATAATAAAATCCTTCCCACATTCTGTACATTTATAGGGCTTCTTGACTGAATGAATTCTCTCATGTTTAACAAGACTTGAAACCCATCGAAAGGCCATCCTACATTCCTTGCACTCATGCGGTTTCTATCCCAGTGCGATCTTCTGGTGCTGTGTGAGGTAACTGACTCTAGTGAAGGACTTCCCACATGCTTGGCACAAAGGATTTCTCACCTGTGTGGACTCTCTAATGCTGAATGAGGCTGGAACTAAAAATAAAGGCCTTCCCACAGTCTACACATT